CGCTGAAGGTGCTGTGTGCCTGCAGCTCGTTAATGCAGTGACAACTTCCATAGTCAAGGTTGTTGGACTAGGTCTGTATACGGAGCCTAATTGCAAACATCTCGTAAAAGATAAACCTGCAAACTTCTGAAAGAACCTTTCTTGTACTGCTAAACAGTTCCCACTACCAAGGTTTTGACATTTAACTGCTATGTGGGCTGGTGTTTTTTTCTAAAACAGTAACAAAATCCTGCTATTTGTAGCTAATAAATCAGAACTTTCACTGAGTAACTGTTACACAAATGGATTACTTTTAATATATACTAGAGGCCCGGTGCAAAAATTCCTGCACCAGTGTGGTCCCTCGGCCTGGCGATCGGGCCAAAACAGGCTCTCCGATATCCCCCAAGGGGTTTCGGATTGTGAGCGGGCACAGGCCAGGCCAAGGGACCCCACTGGTGCATGATCAGTGCTGGGGAGGGACCGTGGGAGGGCTCCAGGGCATGTCCGGCCCGTCTTGCTCAGTCCTGATCGGCCAGACCCCAGCAGCAAGCTAACCTACCAGTCAGAGCATCTGCCCCCTGATGGTCAGTGCACATCATAGTGAGCAGTTGAGCGGCCTTAGCATATCACTAGCATATTACGCATTGATTGGTTGAATGGCTGACTGGATGACCAGACACTTAGCATATTAGGCTATTATTATATAGGATTCATGCTCATTGGGGAAAATGGAGACAGAAAAGGGAAAAAGCACCAGAATCCCATCATCCATTTGTCTGGATGTTCTTCTAGACTTTCTGTTTATACACACGCTTTTTTAAACCTGGTTGTAATTGTAATAATGCACTATAACTGTGCACACTGCCCTTTCCCTACTTAAACTAGAAAACATGGACTTCATAGATTATTGATTTCTTTTAAATTTCTAAAAAGAAAGGAAAATAAGATTGAGGTCTAGGAGGATTAAATTGTGTCACATTTCACATTTAAAAGATGCAATGACAATTGCCTAAGTATATTCTCTTACTTCCTAAGTACTGCTTGGCAGGATTTTTTAAAAAATACTGAGCTTTGTTAGATTTTTGGGAAACACTGAAATTTTGTACAGTTGTTTTCCTGTTACAAAAATAATACATGCTCATTATATAACATTTAGAAAGAAAATTTCAGTGAGTAATAATTTAACAGTAATATTTGTTGAACATAGTCTATGTTTCAGGCACTGGTCTGAGTGCTTTAGACAGATTGATTCATGACTTCCTCACAACACCTCATTGAATCCCAGAGATATTAAGTAACTTGCCACACTCTACACACCTAGAGGCAGGAGCCAGGAATCCATCACTATGCTACGATGTTCTAGGAGTAAAAAGAATCAATAATTTATTCAGTCAAGTCCTCCACTGCTTCAGAGTACAATGTGATAGGCAAGAAATGATTCATAGCTACATTACACCCTTTACAGCTATTTTAAAATATTCTAAAGCACCATCTCTGTGTCCCTGTGGAACAATTAGTAAAATGAGAAGCCATGTGTGGCATGAGCTGATCCCAGTCAGTGCAATCCTTTGCACCCAATGTACATTAAGAAAAACAACAGGCGCTTATAAAAGGGTTTGTTTTTAAAGATGAAAGCATTTTTTAAAATTTTGCAAATGTTTCAATGATGAGTCGATTTCCTGAATTAACTGAACATGCATTCCCCTGGAAGTTTATAATCAGTCATAAGGCTTTTACAAAACGTTTACTAAACATTCCCAATCAGCCCTAAACACTACTTGTGGCTTATCTGTTGGCACTGGACATTGGTGCATGAGAAAGTAAATAGCTGGATACCCTTGGGTCACATTTCTTCATATTTTAACTAAAAGTCATACTTGGTTCAAGACAAATACTTCTGTTCCTGGTTTAATTTCCTATACAGGGCTAATACACAGGACTATTTGAAATATAAATTCTCTTTAAATTTAAATATGATTAATGAAATGTTTCTGACTGCCTAGTTCTAAAAAATATTATACATCTGTAACTTGAACACTAAAAACATACTGAAACTGTTAATCCATTAATCATAATTATTCATATCACTGTGGGAGAAACATGACACACATATGTAAACAAATAGCTTACATCTATCTATCTACCTACCTATCTGTAACATCAGGTACCTTCTTCGGAATTTAAAATTACACTATCCAGCATTTCCTGAAGGTTCTAGCTGCCATCTCATAATTTATCCAAGAGCCTGCTGCCAAAGTCAGCTGGATCAGAAAATATCTAATAATTTCAGACATTAACTGTGTGTTAGGTGCAAAGTGTTTTCCAAAGATTGTTTCATATACTTTCATAAAAACCCTAGAAATAGAGACCACTGTCATCCCCATTTTACAATGCAAACTGAAAAAGGTTAAATAACTGAGATTTGGATCCAGGTCTGTCCGCATAAACCAAAACCCACACCACAAACCACTGTTAAACTGCTTCTCTTCTGAATCAGGCCTCAGAAAAATTTTATTTGACTTCCACAATCTACCTCCCTAGCTTAAGCCTAAGCTTAAGCTGACATATAAAATTAAAAAAGAAAACAACACACCCAATTACAAATCCAACACAATAAATGACATAATTCTAAATGTGAACTTTCGTTTTTCTTGAGTTTATTTGGGCTAACATTGGTTAATAACATTATATAGATTTCAGGTGTACAATTCTATAATACATCACATCATCTGTATATTGTATTGTGCATTCACCACCCCAAGTCAAGTCTTTCATCACCATTTATCTTCCCCCCGCCCTCCCCCCGCCCGTGAATGTTCTTTTTCTCAGAGGTTTTCAACATAAAAAACAAGAACTAATCTTGAATTAGCTAACCATTTCCTCAAGTGTTTTCACTATGAAGCTCTTAGCTGTCACACCTGACAAACCACTCCTCCTTCAACAAGTGACAACAACACAAGCCTAACACCTCAAATTTTATTGTCAGGGACCTAGTCTTTCAAACCAGCCTGGAGCACGCTACACAGAAAATTTCTATAATATTAATCTTTTCAGTCTCTTGTGAAGCACAGATGCACATATTTATGTATTTCTACACAAATCTAAATGCTATCGGGGTTCAATACCTAGTGAATAACCTGGGTTAAACACATTAAAAAATACGACTGCAAAAAATATATATGACTGCATTTTTCATAAGGTTTAAAGTCGCAGTTCTTATGGGCCGTGCAGTATTTTTTTGGATCTAACCCAAGGTTTTATGATGCTAGTTAACTGTTAGGGAACTTAAAGGGACTGAACATTTGATCCTCAAGTCCTTTTATCATTGAAGTCTCTATAAAACGTTTGATTACTTTGAAAAATCATGAGATGTGTGAATCATTTGTGTTTATTGGGAAGGGGACTTGCTAATACAAACAATTTGATTTGAAAAAAAAACAACAACAACAAAAAACAACACACCAGCTCCTGACTTGAATATGATTGTTTTGGCAATAGTAATACCCAACCCTTCACTCCAGCGCTGCCTGCCTTCCTGGTTCTAGGTGAGGGCCGCCATCCCGGAGGTTCTATGGGGAGAGCTGAGAAGCAGCAGCGAGGGTGCAGTACAAGGATTAGCGCTTTAAAAACCACAGCAAACTCCGCTTTTCAAGGAGAGAACACACAGATACAGACCCTGCCTCTGACAACATCCGAAAGATTCATTATAGACAATCTATTCAGACGAAGCTACAACAGCCCCAGGAAATATAAACAGCGTCGGTCCGCAAAGACAACGGGGATAGGCGGGGGTGGGGGTGGGGGGGCGGATAACTGATGGGAAGGAAGCTGGTCATGTGAAGTTTCTCCAACTCCACAAGGTCTCATAAATTCCCGGTTTGTTTCCACTCGGAGCAGCCATTAAACGTGCCCTGACACGTGGGTACAGGGGACCTCCCTTTTCTCCGGTTTTGTCCATTTCCTTCTCTCTGCACTTGTTTGTATACAGACAACCACGCCCGGGGACAGGGGTGACCACAAGATGACAGGCCTCGTCAATTCCTCCCCTTAGATTCCCCGATGCCCCAAGTCTGACTCCACGGCAGTGATTTATCGAGAATCACGAGTTCCTTTTCGAAAGTTATGAATGATGTAAGTCAAGTTTACCAGACACAAACGTACGGCGAGGGACAAGTGAGTGTCCGAGACGGGAGCTACAGCGTTTGGAGATTAGCGTTCATTGATATGCCCTAGTTAACACTTAAAAAATCATAAAATGAAAAAAAGTAGCCCTGATCCACGCAATAAGTGTCCCCGCAATACTTTTATTTTTTATTTTTAACCACGCTAGATTCATGTCCGAGTCTTGCCTTCCCCATGTATCTATCATCTGCCAATACCCTCTCGGGTCGCCACCTGCTCGGGGTCCCTGGCGGGAGGTGTGCGCTCCGGGTCTTCCTCTGTGACCCGCCATCTCCCCGCCAGACCCCCCGCGCCCAGCGGGTTCCAGGGCTGCGCACCCGCGGGCGACTCCCCAGAAAGAGCGGAAGAAAGTAGGGAAGAGGGGCGTGGCGCCAGGTCGCCCCCAGACGCTGGCCCTCCTCCCAAACCTGGCACCACCGCCAAGCCTGTGCTGGGAACACCGGAGCCTCCGAGCCCCGACCGGGCTCGGGGCGCACGGCCCGGGGCGGCGAGGAAGCGAGCGGGAGACCTTCCCCCGGCTCCAGGCGCCGCTACCCCAGCCCCAGCCCCGAGGGCCACTGGCTCCCCGCG